GTAGACCATCAGGCCTTTCTTCCAAGGTACCTCTGGGTGGACCCCAAACTCTACTCTGTTGGTTAGCCGTTGGACATATTAACCATTTGGACCACCCAATCACCAAATGCAGTGCAAAAGTGGACATAATCTTATATGAAAACCATATTGGAGCTTACTATCTATTAAATGTTTCCCAAGTGTTAGGGATTTGATCTAATATTTTCCATGAAATATCTCATTTAATCCTCACATTCTTTCCACAAGGCAGGGTTTTCTGTCACCCTCATTTTCCCTCATGACCACTAGGAGGGGCAGGATGGGAAGAAGCCAGGAAGTCCAGCTTCAGAGCCTGGCACTAACCGCTACACTTCCTGGCCTCTCCGCTGAGATATGCGGGAACCTAAACATCCAGAACTTCTACCGATCAGAGTAATAGCTGATCCTGGATGACCACCCACAACTAGTTCATATTTTCATATATGATTAGAGAATGTATTTTTGTGGTGCCTGTACACACAGATATAAAAAGATATATTATATATAATATACAACATAAGACAATACATTATATATAAGGTAGATTATTAGATAAAATTTTGTATAAAATAGCATATATATATGCTAGTTGATTAAACTAATGGAATCAGGAAGCAGAAGTGTGACAAATCTAAGTACTTAAAGAAGCCCTGCTGGCAAAGTGGTGAAGCACTTGGCTCTTCACCAGAGGTCTGAGGCTTCAGCCCCTCAGTAGCACCTCGCAGAAAGATACAGCAGTCGGTTTCCTTAAAGATTCATAGCCTTGGCAAGGCGGGGAGGTAGTTCTACTCTGTGGTATAGGGTTGTTATGAGTTGGAATCGACTCAAAGGCAATAGATACTTTTGTCTGTTTAAATGCCTTAAAATCCACCCTAAAACCAAATTATTCTAATTGCTGAAGTTTTTCTCTAAGTAATAGTAGTGATTATTTTTCTTGTCTATGGTAATGTTTGGAAATAATAAAAGTTGCAGCAGCATATAAAAGTTTTCATTAAAGCTGAGAAAGCTTTTTCATCATTGCTGAAGCCGTTTGTACTTATTACGTTTTAAGGCTAAAGTGGTAATAAAGTGCAGTTGTACAATCAAATGGAAATTTTAAATCCCTAAAATCCCACCAATCGATAGGCAATGCCCCGGTGCTTCCTCCTGGTGGCTCCTTTGAGTTCCACTGCTTACTTAATTATAGCATGAAGCACTTGATATAAAAATCGCAAAGAGCCTCGGCTGAGTTTGTTCAGATATAGTTTGGAATAAATAAAAATAGCCCTAATATTTTCTGGCAAAGATAATAAAGACTTCATATCTGAGCTGCACTGTAATTCGATGGAAGTCAAGTATAAAATAACATTTTTGGCACTGTCCTCTCTAATGAAACTGTTTTAGAGTGGAACATTTCAATTGGTGGCGCCTCCAGTTGGCTAACGCCCCCACCCCCACTTGCTATTAGGGCACGTGCTCGGAGGCTGAGCACTGGTCCTCAAGGTGCAGTTGGGGCTTTTATACCTGCTTTGCTATGCCTGAGAATGAAATGATCTGGCTCTTCTGCCTCCTTCAAAGCATCATCACTGAATCTGTGTGAAGCCGGTTCCCCGTGGGAACAATACGTGGCTCAAGTGGACATAGTTTTGCTCACCTGCGAGTTTGCCTTGAGGAACTGGAAGAACTGGCAGCTCTACCTTTTCTGACAAGACGAAAATGAAGACGATGTTTTGAAAGATTGCTCCAAGGTTTAGAAGTTTGTTTAGACTTATTAATTTACACCTTTTGAATATAAAGAAGTGTTTCTAGAGTGACAGCATATACCAATGTATGGTAAAGAAAGCATTAATCATTCCTGGTACTTAATACTTCTTAACACAGTCTTAGTACTGTTTTTCTTTTCTGCTTTATCAAAAACAAAAACACTAGTTGCTGCCAAGTCTCTCTAGACACACCAGAGTCAGTTTGCATAATATAGCTCACACACATGCACACAAAACCAATGTCCTGCATCCTACTTTGGTGGGTAGTTACTGGGATCTTAAAAGCTTGTGGGGGTCTATCTGAGGCTTAACACTGGTCTCTCACTGCCAAAGGAAAGGAGAATGATGAAAATTACAGATCCATGAAACAATGAGTCCAATGAACTAACGAACCCTA